TATTTCATGTTCTCAATAAATGTTTTATACATTATGCTGATATTCTGTTATCTGTAAGAAAGTGTTACAATAGTAGCGTTTCACAAAACTATTTTAGGGACAATTTTAACTTAGGACAGCCGTCACACTCTTCTAACTGAGATCTATTGCGACATGTACATACATTTGGAATAATGATAATATTGCCAATGGCCCGGGTTATATAGTTTAAACATACTATCATTTACAAAAATAATTTTCATTCAATTTCTTTTCATTGCACGGGACATATAGCTGCGACCCACCCGTTTATTTTACTGTAAGGCAATATAAGCAGGAGAAAACGCACGAGGTTGTACGGGCGACCGTTAATCCTATATAATACTAGATACGCCATATACACATTATTTATGGTTTTTCGGGTTATGTTGATTTATATAGGAGTCAAGGGTATTTTATATTGGGAAAAAATCATTTTAATTTAGTAAGATAGATAGGCATTATACAATAAGGAGTGTGGCACTTTGGCATTTTCAAATTATTATTAAAAGGGTCCATTGGACTGACATTTCAAATCTAGGCATCGGGTTATTTCGTGATAGTTTAGAAGTTGTTAAATATTTTTAAAAATCGACAAAACTTTAGTCTAGATTAATCGTTTGAGTCAGAAATATCACAATTTGTGACAATTTCTCAATAGTTTCTGTTAACCAAAATAATATAAAACTACGAAATTCAAGCGATTTAGTTTATCGATACGCATTATTTTTATTGAAGCATGCGAGTAAATCAACGTCCACCAGGGGCGGATTTCGCCCGAACAGCCGGTCGGACAAAAAATGAAAAAAATAATTTTGTCCAATTCGTCTAAAAACCCTTTTTCTGCTGAACATTATATGGGGGGGGGGGTATTGGACCGACCATGGAGCGATGATGATCATGTTGTATGTGGCCGGTGGCTTTAACGGGCCTCCACGCCATCACTGGAGTCTTGAATGGGCTGGTATAATAGACTTTCTGGGCCGGGTGTGCTGGGTGTAGGCTGGAATTCGGAATCTTGCAATGGGGATTCCGAAATTCATCCGACAATGTCATCGGATTCACCCGCCATTGTCGCCCGCAAATTTACTATAATTATTAAGTCACCTGCACCCTGGGATGTCGGAAATGGTCTCAAATTGCGGGAAATGGCCTCCCATTTCCAAAAATTCAAAAATGAATTGTCCCGTACGCCTATGCATGTCCGCACCCACTCCGTCAAGGCCACCTATTATACGGGACATTCAATGAAAATATTCCTACTGATTCAATAATCAATTGGTCAAAATTTTCTTAACTATAGTCCCATTTTTTAACCAGTTAAATTCTCTTGACTCTTGACAATACAAATTACAATGATAATACGTTAATTAATAATATGACGATATGATAATTTCACAGGTTGATGGTTGTAAATTACTTGCAGGTCGGGGTTTTGGCCTAAATTAATCGATTTATGAGATATATTATCTGACAGAGATTATAATCAGATATGCCACCAAATCGCATATTTGGGGCTCATATTTCTAAATTTTCAGCGGGGAGAACCCCGCGGTCAGTAAAAGGGGCTGCTCCGACACGGGAGCCCGGGCTGGTTCTTGGCCCCAATCCGCCCCTGACGTCCACTCGACACAAACTAGGTCATATGGTTTAATTTTATTTCAATAATTCGCTTGCGCGTAGGGGTCTTTCGCAGTGGGAGGAAACCAGAGGACCCGGAGAAAACCCACGAGGTTGGACAGGCGACCCTACTCCTTGTCACGTACAACTTTCAAAACGAATAACACGAAATAAACTTATTTATTTCATCTCTCTACGACTGTCTGACCATGCGTAGACATTGTCATAACGTATAAAACCCTCCTCATCGGTATGGTAACGGTTAGTTCAACCGGGCAACAGTTTTCAGTTCCGAAGCGTGTATGCTTACACCCTAAGGCTGCATTTCCCTTAGTACGGATCCGGTCCGGCTCCGTTCCGGGAGTAGACATAGCACACAGCAGGCTGTGTATCCTTATATGCGGTTATTCAAGCGGAAGGGCCCTCTTTTCAACATGGCACCGGCATTGTCAAGGTTTGTAAAAGAAGAAAAAAACTATTTTTCGTATCCACAACCGGACCGAAGCCGGACCGGATCCGTACTAAAGGAAATGCAGCTTAAGTGCCCTCACCGGAATTGTGCACTGTGCGAGCGCAATCAATTTTAACTAAAATCTATTAAAATTGCATTTTAGGTTACAATCGATCTTCGTGAAACGCATAAAATTTAAAATTTCAGTTTGATTTTAGTTAAAATCTGTTTTAGTGATTTTAGTTTAAGTTTTTGTGAAACAGGACCCAGAACCCATACCGGAGAAAACACCCTTTTCTTGTGATATTTGTAGAAAATCATTTTCTACCAGGGCAGTAGTGAGTTACATAAACATACCAGAATTCATACTGGAAAAAAACAACTTTTTCTTGTGATGTTTGTAGTAAATCATTTACTAGTGGAAGTTATCTGAATAAACCAATTAATACTAGAGAATAAGATACTGGGGAAAAACCATTTTGTTTTGATGTTGGGAGTCACGGTAGTTAAGTGGGTAAGACGCTGGCTCGCTAGCCTGGAGGTCGGGTGTTAGATCCCTGCATCGGCCGAGAATGTTCATCCCGATTTTTCGGCTTGGTTACACCTTGTTAGTGATGCAGGACGGGGGGCCTGACAAGGACAGCTGTCTAGTCGTTCGGATGGGATGAAAAACCGAGCTTCCGTGTGTACATTGACATTTGGAATTCAATGTGCTGTCCGGGCAAAATTTCAGCCATAGCACACCGTATGGCATATGCCCGTCTTCATTAGCCAAGTTCGGAGCAGAGCAGTAGGATGTTTTGATGTTTGTGATAAATCATTTATAGCTAATGGAAATTTTTATAAGCAGATAAAATTTATCAGAATATAAAGAAGATTATTTATGTACACAGTACACACCCTGTACTAGAGGGTAATTTCCATAAAACAAATTTGAATATGATTTATTTTAGCACCAAAAACAATTAAATTTATCTTCAAATATGGTTCTTCAATTGAAAAAGAAAAAGAGAATACAATCTGTTCAAAAGAAGTTTAATTAGTTTTTTATCAATGAAAAATAAAAGATGTCCTAATTTATTACCTGGCCAGACCCATGGGTTTTTCTCGACAATGGATTTCTGAGAGGTTTTACGTTGATGTTGTTTATTAAGATATCCTAATTTATTACCTGGCCAGACCCATGGGTTTTTTCTTGTGGGTGGAAGTTCTGTTATCCATGAAATGAAATGAAATGAAATGGAGTTTAACGTCCTACTGTTCTGCTCCTAACCTGGGCTAATGAAGACGGGCATACGCCATACAGTGTGCTATGAGGGAAATTTTGCCCGGACAGCGGCACTACGGCCTACTCTTATATCGAATTCCAACTGCCAAGGGATCTTTTACGTGCACGCCAATGTGTACACGGGACCTCGGTTTTTCGTCCCATCCGAACGACTGTTATCCATACTGGGGTGAGTCTGCTGCTAGAAATTGCTACATCTTTTCCCTTCCAGAATTAAGCTACTGTCTGGCGAATTCTGACAAATATGATAGTTTTGTAGCTTTGGGTTTTGGACCTTCAATTATCTAATTGGTCAAATATGATGTAAATAATTATTGAGATTGGTTACTCAACTCAAGCCAAATGATACAATAGGTAAATTTCCAATCACGTGTTAAACATGATATTCTCATTCCCACGGAACCAGCTAATTTTTTACCAAATTATAACTCTTTTTTATATACCAGTCTGTCATACATTCACTCATTTTGATTTAAGTAGCAAATATGTGAATCTAATAATTTGCCAAAGATATTAATTAATTCAATGCTACTAATTTAAAGAGCAACAATTCTACATAAGTCTTACATCTTCTCCCTTTGTCATAATAAAAACAGGAAGTACAGCTAGTTGATGTTTGGCGTTATCAGTGGAGATAGAAAAAAAACTGTGGGGAAAGAATCTGGTTGCTTTATGTGGAAAAGCAAAGTTCTCTCAGTAAAACCCAAATAGCTTGACCTGTGGATTATTTACAGATTAAAACCTGTTTTATTCCGTTGTCTCAGTTACATGGAAATAACCACTTTAATTATACCAATTTGAAAATAACTACTTTTATACCAATTTGAAAAAAAATTATACCAATTTCAAAATAACCAGTTTAAAAATAACCACTGTAATTACACCAGTTATATAAAGAAAATACACTTTAATTACACCAGTTTATTATATAAAAATAACCACTCTAATTACACCAATTTAAAAATAACCACTTTAACAACACCAATTTTAAAATAACCACTTTAATTACACCAATTGAAAAATAACCACTTTAACAACACCAATTTTAAAATAACCACTTTAATTATACCAATTGAAAAATAACCACTTTAATTACACCAGTTATATAAAAATAACCAAATTGTTATTTAGTGTTTCCAAAGTCAACATTTTGGAGATATTGAGTAGTTATTGGGTGTTATTGGGTAGTTATTGGGTGTTATTGGGTAATTCGACGTGCCGCCTCTTGTCGTCTGCTCTTTCTCTTTTTGCGATTGTCAGTTGCAATTTTCTCCGCTTTACTTTCAGTGACATCGTCTTTTTGACGTGCCGCCATTTCTCGCGTTTAGAATGTGGTGAAACGCCAAGCTGAAGAGAATTTATTTTAAGATATTTTACTCATTGAGCAACCGGAGCGGAGAGAGCGTTTCTTGTTTGTACATCTGACGTGATGGTCCACATTTTAATTTACTGAACAGAAAAAGAAAATAAATTTATTTCATTTAACAATGATTCTATATTTAAAAAGAGTAATTTAATGTATATTTAGTATTTTATTGATGGAAAAAATACAATAAACTGTGCTATTTTATGTTCTTGTTGGAACATCACGCTTCTATTTATTCACCAACAAAGTGACATTATTTATTCACTGCGGAGAGCTGGCGTTATTGACTTCCGCCAGTAACGTCAACGTTTCTCTATTTTCTCTTCTTTTATTTTCGTTGAATTTATCAGGCAATTGGATGATCGATTGTATACTGTAAAAATTAAAAGACCGATCTTGATTGAAAGTAATAACTTATCCGGAAACATGGAAGACGACCCAGCCGCAGATTTTTTGGCCAGAGAGCAGTCGGAACTTGCCGGTTTGGAAGACGATAATGAAGATAATCCCACAGATTCATCTGCCCCACAAGGTATTTCAATATTTTAATCTTAACTGAACGTCTGTCGTCATAATATGTGTAACCAGAAGAAATACCAATTGCCAATAGTATCTTATTACTATCAGTTTATTAGGAATCTACAGAGACAACAATCTCTGAAAAATACAAATATATCATTTTACATTTAGATAAAAATGTTTTAAAATAAACATATATATACAGATAATACTCGATAAAATTTATGTACAATTCACCCTTCTATGTAACTTCCTACCCTTAGTAAGGGAAGACAGAAGCAACACCAACTACGGTACCAACCATTCAATGGAACCCTAAAAAGAAATGTTCATTCGATTAACACCATATCAAGTAAATAACCTGAACACACTTGATCTATCAGTGGTAAGAATATGACAATACATTACGTGTCACTACCCCTTTAATTTACCATGTTTCACCGGGTTGAAACATACAGGTACAGAATATATTATAAGTCTATGGTAGTATATATATGTGTATAGATTTGGAAACGAATTATTGATTGACATACACATTCTACGATATATAATGCATCATTATACTTAATTACATAATAAACCACTGACTATAATGACAGAAAAATAAGATCATAAAATTACCTTCGAGGTTGAAATATGGCGTACCACCCTCAAGCTCTTCAGACCCACTGAATACTAATTAGTTGCGCATCCCTACTGACAAATGTTCATTGGATAAACTGGTCACATGACACCGTATAGTTCACAATGCGCGAAATTTAAATGGACATAATTATAATATAACATACATGTAAACCTGACTCAGTCGTAAAACAACTTTCCTAAATAATTGACTATCCAAAATATGTTACACGTACATAATTAAATCTGAGGGAGTTGAACAATTACTATGGAAACACGAATTGGAAACAATGTATATATTGAACTTACATATGTAACAGACATTGCCTGGGTAGAGCAAAGCTGATTGCTGTCAAATAATATGAACTATAGTATAAAAACCTTCATAATTATTCATAATTAAGTTTCTCAAGTGATGCAAAGAATGTAAAATACATGTAATTTCTTTTTACCGAATTGATTTTAATTTAGATCCAAATTGTATGAGTAGACTATTGAGTATTGGATAAATTACCGAGTAATTTTGTTTAAAAAGAACCAAAAAGTGTGATAATTATTTTCATTGACGTCCTATAATATAGATATATAGGCTATGTGATGTCATTGATTGGACACTTAATCTTGCTGTAGATAGAGACAGTACAACGGACAGGGGCGCAGTTTTTCACAGGCAACTACAAGGTCTATAGGCCTACTCCAGGAGAAATCACCAGAATATTACAACACCTGAGCAGGGTGAGGGACACACTGGAGTATTGGTGTGCAAGAAACAGATTCGGTATTCAAGACCAAGCTACTCCAGAGTGTCTTGAGGTTTTGTTCACACGTAACCTCAAACTCAAGATTCCTCAAGCCGTATTTAGTTCTTGCAGATTATAGTGATTTGATGATATATTTGGACTAAAAACATATTCAAATTATTTAATCTATCAAAAATTTGCTTCAAATCCCTCTCAAAACGGGGGGTTGGATGACTGAATGGTTAGCACGTGCGCACTCTATCATAAGGTGTGAATTATTGAAATAAAATGACATAGTAGCCTATATGTCGAGTGGACGTTAAACCCCTCTCTCTCTCATGTTCTGTTGTTGTTTTACAGATGATGGTTTTGGTGCGTTTGATGATGAAGAACCAGCAGGTAGTCAGGTTTGTCACTTTATAATAAATAGATGTAGTATGGAATACTTTAATTATTGATTTTGTTTATGTAAGGCTGCGGTAGGGTGGTCCTTATATTAGGCTGCGGTAGGGTGGTCCTTATATTAGGCTGTGGTAGGGTGGTCCTTATATTAGGCTGCGGTAGGGTGGTCCTTATATTAGGCTGGGGTAGGGTGGTCCTTATATTAGGCTGCGGTAGGGTGGTCCTTATATTAGGCTGCGGTAGGGTGGTCCTTATATTAGGCTGTGGTAGGGTGGTCCTTATATTAGGCTGGGGTAGGGTGGTCCTTATTTTGAACAGTTTTGGGGGTACTCTCAATTTATATTGGAATTGATGAGAAAAAAATGAATAAGAAAATAAACATTTTTTTAAAGGGTGCTACATCAAACTGCACGCAGCGATCCATCTACGTCATACGTCATTATGATCACTGCCTCAATTAGTCGCCATTTAAATCGCCTACATGATCATTTTGGGGCGGGACTTATCGACGGGATGACAGCTTTGTGTACACAACAGAGTAAAAATAACCCAAGAATGCATGAGTTTTATGTAAACACGTGTCTTTAGCAAAATGTCAACTTCTGCCAATATGCATTAGTGGGTAATATTGCAATAAATTCTTTGCCATTGTAAACTGTCTTTAGAGTTTCAATCTGTTTATCTTTCAAAACAAGGTTAGATACTCCTAAATTTGTCTTCGCAAACAAAACCGCCTCTGTGAAATTACCTTTTATAGGCGCCGCCATATTGAATAATTAGAGGACTATTTTGTGATTCGGCTTTGATTAGTTTGACATCTTTCATACACACAGTGGCTTAATAAACATATTTAATTTCATTCAATATGACAATAGAAGAGAAAGAGATACTTCTAAAAATTACTAAAAGCATACTCGGTGTTTTCGACTAAAATCGTCGATGTAGGAATTAAAATGTCAGGTAATTAGCTTAGGGCCTGTTCTCAGGCGGAGCTAGCTGTAGACAGGCAGCCTAAGTTTGGGATGTGTGCTACATGTATCAAAGTTTGAACAAAATGTGATTTTTACTTTTTATGAAAAGAAATGTTGTTTCCTGGTTAATTAGAATGTGAACAGGAAAAAAAACAAATATTTATAAAGCTACAGAAGTGATTCCAGTGGTTTATACAAAGATTCAAAAATTGGCGAAATCAAGATTTTTCCGGGAAATTGCCTCTTTTTCCAAGACCTGTATTTCTAGCCCTTCTGTTCTGGCTTTTGGTGTACCCCCCAAGGTCCATCCTCGGACCAATCTTGTTTAGCTTATACACTAAACCACTTGGCCTGAAAGAAAGACATCATGGATTATAATGTCATCTATATATGCAGATGATACATGTACACGATTGTACATTTTGTTCAAACCTATTAAAAGTAATTTCGACATTTCCAAACTGAATATTGAAACTTGTATTGCAGACATTTAAATTTAATTTAGACTTTGGACAACAATTTTTTTTAAACTTAATGCAGATCGGGCAGAGTATGTGGATATTGGGTCTTTTAACCCGTTAATTTAACGTCCTGGACAACTGCCACTCAACGTGTGTAGGACGTAATATAACTCCCTGGAGGTATTTTCCCCAACCTATTCTTCGAACATACGATCGCAGCATGTGTAGGACGTTATATTACATGTGGTCGAGGAAATCTAATTGAAGGGAGACAACCCTATTTACCGTTAGTTTTAATATGGTTTTAGACTACTATAGTTTGTATTCAGGAATACAAAGGTCCAAAAATGATGTTTTTCGTCAAATTAATTACACAATAGGGGGTAGTTAACGTTTTAAAAACTACACAGTTAAGGGGTTAAAAAAAAAAGCTAAACTTTGATATGCATTGTTACTTCTCAGCCAACCAGAATATTGGTGTAAATTTTAATTCAAACTTTTCTTTGGAAAATCACATGATCAAGATATTTAAAATAAGTTATTTTAATTTAAGAAACATGTTTAAAAAATACTAATAAATACATTAGTGATTTCTGGCATATATTCTTTAATTCAATCCTATACAGTGTACAGGAATCCTATCACATCTATTCTATATAAATTGAATGTTATTATAGATATAGTATATTATGGAATGTTTTAGTTATATAAAACAAGTATATATTTTTGGTTTAAATCATTTTTTATTTACGCATGAAATTAGTTACATTGATTGATGTTATTTAATGGTATCAGCTGATCTGTGATCATTTCATATAATTAAAATTTGAAGATTGAAATATTTATCTGAATGAAGTCAGCCAGTTGTTTATACACCCACATTGTCATCACCATTTTCTACCAGTCCCCCATAAAGATTTCTTATTGCATTCAGAACTTTTGGCTGTTGATCACTTGAAATAATCTGATTGACGCTCTCTCTTGAGGCTAAAGTTATCATCTGGTTGACTTGAGGCTAAAGTTATCGTCTGATTGACTAGAGGCTGAAGTTATCATCTGGTTGACTAGAGGCTGAAGTTATCAATTCTGGTTGACTTGAGGCTGAAGTTATCATCTGGTTGACTTGAGGCTAAAATTATCATCTGGTTGACTTGAGGCTAAAGTTATCATCTGATTGACTTGATATTTATACATATTGTTTAATTTCGCAAGATAAAGTTTCCTTGTTTGGCACTGATTTTGATTGGCAGTTAAAGACCACGTAAGATCAAAAATCTAAATTACATGTATGTATAGCCCATGGTTACTATATCAACTTTACGGCAAGTTCACACCAATCTGATTAAAATTAAGTGGGCTGTTAACGTTTAACTGTCCGACACGCCAAAACGCTTTTCAATTTTTCAATTACAACCGTAATCCGGTTGATTGGCTGGTGACGTCACAGGCACTACACATAGGATATACATTATCTATACAATATCTCACCATCTGTACAATATAGCACTATCAATACACACGGCAAGTTGACAAGCGTCTGTTGACGGTCCAATTACCACGTGACTGGCCTAATCATAATCACCGAATTATCGTCTTTCATTTGTGATTGGAATATTTTAGAGCGAATTTCAAATGCCGTATCATGCCGTAGATCCATTTAAGCTGCCTTTGTTTAAATAGGCCACGTGTCAATTGAAGACGACTCAAGAAATTAGCACATTTACCGGTAATTTGGATAACCCCGTAGTACTTGATATACCAAACGTACAGAAATACAAATGGCGCCAGTCATTTGTCGATATATTCATTATTAGCTATATATAATAATAATAACCATTTCTATACATAAAGAACAACTTTTATCGTAACTCAATTTGAAATTTACAGTGAATATGGAATTTTCCGATGACTATGCATAACATGTACAATAGATCGCCCTCATTTCTCAGCCAATCAACGCTGGGAATCTTATTACCATTTATGGTTACATGTACTACGGGTGTAGTAAATGAGGTTAAACTTCGGCACGAAAATTGCACGGGATCATACGTGGAGTTCCTGGTGCCGTTTGGTGAGTGATTAAACTGTCAATGCAATTGTAAAATACTTTTATTAAAAAGAAGATAAACGATTGTTGTTTAAACGCCAATCAACAAATAATACGAGGCTACTTGATTACAAAACCACTGGTGAGCAATAATTATTGGGTAAATAATAATTATAAACAACTGATGAGTAAAACTTAATGGTTTTATACAATTAATGTGTGGGTGTACGATTCCACCATTAGTTCGTTCATGAGTTATTATGCACACGTTCCACTTAGAGTGATGTCTTTGATCTGGCCAGCGTAAAAAAAGATAATTACCTAATCAACATTCTTAATCCAACTAACACTCACTGCTAACACCGACGTGTAAATTAATTTATAACCCATGCCTGTATAACTTTTATAGTTGGATTGATTAATTAATGACATGAATTCTCCAACTATGATATAATATGTATTACTGAATCTCATTTAGACAACACTATTAATGATTCAATGATTTTACTGCCCGGTTATAGAAGTCCAGTTAGAATAGATAGAAACAGGCATGGGGGTGGGGTTGTTGTTTATATAAAAAATAATCTACACTTTCAGATTAGGCATGATCTCATAAACTCTGATATTGAATTAATTTTTATAGACATATTTACTGATTACACCAAATTCCTACTCGTCGGGGTAATATATAGACCCCCAAATACAAAGGTTGCCTTTTGGGACATATTTTACGATACGTTATCTAATGCATTAGATAGAGGTTCCTCTTTTATCCTAACGGGGGATTTTAATATCAACATTTTAAGTAATTCAAGTAATTGTGCTAAATTTAAAAAACTATTACAAAGATTAAATCTTGAAAATCTGATAAAAGAACCGACTAATTTCACAACGCTCCCAGGTTCATGCATTGATCTTTTTATTACCAATAGGAAATCCCTTATATCAGATACTAATGTTAATGCTCCTATATGCAGTACACATTCACCAATAACCTTATCTTTAAATATAAAAACATACAAACAATTAACATACAAAAGAACTATTAGAAATTATAAACTTGCAGATTATGAAGGTTTAAATAATGAATTATTAACTGTCGATTGGTCAAAAAATGTTTTTAAAAATGATGATATTAATAAAATTTATCAAAGCTTTTTAGATGTTTTAAATAAAGCATTAGTACAATATATCCCAACAAAAGTAGGAACTATAAGACCAAATGATAAGCCATTTATGAATAACGCCATACGTATAAAAATTCGAAAACGAAATAGAGCACACAGACGCGCCAAAAAAACAAATAGTCCTAATCATTGGCTATTATTTAGAAAAATAAGAAATCAAGTAATAACATTAATTAGGGAAGCTAAAAATAGTTTTAAAGAGAAATTAGAACAACAAATAAATAATAAAACCTTGCAACCAAATAAATGGTGGAAAATAGCTAAATCTATTACAAATTATGATAATGTAAAGGTACAAACCTCCCCATTATTATTTGAAAACTGTGTTTACACACACCCACTTGATAAGGCAAACATCCTAAACTCTTATTTTGCTTCGATTTCAAAATTAAATGATGTACCTGACCTTCCATACTTTGCTTCTCGCAGTAACAACGAACTACAAAATTTTATTGTAAGTGAGCAAGAAGTGAAAGACCAGTTACTAATTCTTAACTGTTCAAAACCTTCTGGTCCCGATAATATCAGTCCAGCTGTATTGAAAAAGATAACTCCATCAATCACAAGCCCTCTCACTAAACTTTTTAATCTTTCATTAGAACTCCAATTATTACCTGATATCTGGAGGACTTCACATATCATTGCAGCATATAAAGGAAAGGGTGATCCGCAGTTCCCTGAAAAGTATAGATCAATTTCATTAACATGTTCATTGTGTAAAATACTAGAGAAAATCTTATTCAAAAATCTTTATAATTTTATAAAAGAAAATAACCTGTTATATAAGTATCAGTCTGGTTTTCAACCTAACGATTCTACAATAAACCAACTTTTAGAAATTTATGATGTTATAATTAGTAATCTTGATAAAGGAAAGCAAATTCGATTTATATTTTGTGATATATCAAAAGCGTTTGACAAAGTTTGGCATATAGGCTTATTGTCTAAATTAAAACAATATGGAGTTAATGAAATATTATGTAAATGGATTGAACACTATTTAAGTAATAGACAACAATGCGTAGTTTTAGAAGGTTTCAAATCAAACTATTTGTATACTGATTCTGGAGTCCCCCAGGGAAGTGTGCTGGGTCCTTTCCTATTTTTAATTTATTTAAATGATATCTCCGATAATATTACTAACAACATAAGGCTATTCGCCGATGATACTTCACTTTTTACCATTATTCATAATGATCCTCTAAGTAGCGCGAACTCTATGACTGAAGATCTGAATATTATCTCATCGTGGGCTAAACAATGGTGTATAACTTTTAACCCCAATAAAACTAAAGATATTATTTTTACTAGGAAAAATACAATCCATCCAGACGTTATTTTTGAAAATACAAAAGTTGAAAACGTAACTACTCATTGTCATTTGGGAATAACATTTCAGTCTAATGCATTATGGTCAAAACACATTTCAAATATATACCAGAAAGCTTGTGGTCGACTAAATATTTTGCGTATACTGAAATACAAAATTAACAGAATTTCACTTAACAAAATATATCTTGCTTTTATTCGTCCGATTTTAGAATATACCGATATTGTATGGGATAACTGTTCAAAGAAGGATTCTTATCTATTAGAAAGTGTTCAAACTGAAGCAGGTAGAATAATAACTGGCCTTAGAAGAAATTCATCTAAAAACAATTTATACAAAGAGCTTGGTTGGGAATCATTGTCTAATCGCAGAATAAAACACAAATTAATTTACTTATACAAAATAAAGAATAACCTAAGTCCCACTTATCTATCTGAAGCCTTTAAAAAATTTGAACCGTCTGTATCAAATTATAACCTTCGAAATGAAAATCTGAACCTCAATCTACCATTTTGTAAAACAAGTTCATATTCTAATAGTTTCTTTCCCTGCACAATTAAACTTTGGAACAACTTACCTGAATATATTAAAACTTCACAAACGTTAAGTACATTCAAATTGGGCCTTTCACGCGTGTATCCTTTAATTAGACCACTACTATATTATAATACTGGAAATAGGAAAGAGAATATTATCCATTGCCAATTAAGAAATAAAGCTAGTAACTTAAATAATCACTTATTCTACCATTTTATTAGTGACACAAAGATGTGCCCTAGGTGTAATTCTGCAGACGAAGATAATTACCATTATTTTTTCATATGTCCAGCCTACTCTGCCCCAAGAAAAATTCTAAAAAATAATCTACACCACCTTAATCAAAATGTTACAATTGACCTGATCCTATATGGCAACCCCTCTCTTTCAGATAATACCAATTCCAACATATTTGAAATAGTGCAAAAATACATAAAAGACAGCAAGAGATTTTAAAACTTTAACATTTAAAACTTAAAATTACACTTCAAAATGTATATATGTTTGTTACTCACTGTCTGTACATATGTCACCACTGTATTGTAAACATAAGATTTAACTATTTTATATGTTTGGAGAGAACTTATATAGGCCTTGCCTGTTGTTCAATCCAATTCAGTTTATTGAATAAAATATTGTTTAAACTAAACTACACTTTATGTGGAAAAGCGAAGTGCTCGCAGTAAAAAACACATAGCTGGACCAGTATATTATTTACATATTAAAAGTGTTCGTCCAATAAATTCCATATTGTAAAAAATTAATTAAGAGTTCAAGACTTCAAAGTTTAAAAGTTGTAGGCAAACTAAACTGGATCTTAAATTAAAATGAATTACAAAACGAATTATTCCGTAGTCAATTGTTTTATTTAATTAAGAACTAAGGGAGATTAAGGAATCAGTCAGGCGTTAATGAGTACACACGCCGGCTGTATATAGGTAATTAAGGAATAAACATTCTGAATATGCATTCGGTCACTGTGACGTCACTGGCGTCTGAGGGGATTAAGAGTGTTTTCGATAATTGGCAAAGTCGTTTTCAGGGGCTCCAGGTCCATTTTTACGACTTTGAGTGAAGATAACTGAATTAATTTCAATCAGATTGGTGTGAACTTGCCGTAAAGTTGATATAGTAACCATTGGCTACACATATCCAAATATTCCCAAACCCATCTTATGTGCACTTTAAAGTTATCAGCATCCAATTACCAGTACATGTTTGTTAGTGCTACAAAGATGCCAATTAAAAATAATTTTTTTCTGAAAAATTCTTCTTGAGTTATGCCTTTAGTTAGTTTTTAGAGCCTTATAAATTATCAAAAATAGAATAGGTGGTTGCCTGGCAATGATTGTTGATCATCTTCATTATGTCAAGGTATTGTAAATCCAATAATTTGACTGGATTAACCAGTTCTATGTGAATTTATCTTGTTATAAGCCTGTTATGGATGCGGGGGTTGGATGGCCAAATGGTAAGCAAGTGCACGCTGTATCATAAAGCCTATCATTGAGTCAACTGGCGTGGTTTTGAATCCCTGGTTGTACATGACAAGGAGTAGGGTTGCCTGTCCAACCTCGTGGGTTTTCTCGGAGTCCTCTGGTTTCGTCCCACTGCTACGCACAAGCAAATTATTGAAATAAAATTAAACCATAAGTTAGTCCCGAAATGGCCAAGTTTGTGTCGAGTGGACGTTAAACCCCATTTTTCTCTCTCTCTCTCTTATGGATGCAATAATTTGAATGGATTAACCAGTTCTATGTGAATTTATCTTGTTATAAGATTAACCAGCCTGTTATGGATGCAATATTTCGACGTTATGAACATGACTGTCAACAGCAATTTACCTGAGTTGATGAGTCGCTTACAGACTGCATGTTGCATGTGTATTTTTATATCAATATAAACTTTCAGGATGATTTTGGAGGCGGTCTAGATGAGTTTGAAGGGGGCTCCAATAATGGACAGTTTGAAGTAAGTTCATCATTAGACCAATCAGGTGGCTTATTAGATATGGGAGATGTTTCTAACCAATCAAATGGTTTGTTAGATATGGGAGATGTTTCAAACCAATCAAATGGTTTGTTAGATATGGATGGTGGGACTGGTTTGAGTGATGGGTTTCTAGATGAATCTGTAGCTGCACCAGTAGTGAGAGATGTTTTAGTTAGAATCCCACTTCCCCACACTCTAATAAAACCTCAGTTTGCATACCAGCTCCCCAGTCCCCACACATAGATTGCTCATCCCCTTTTATTGCCACGGGGGGTTGGATGGCTGAATGGTTAGCGTGCACGCGCTGTATCATAAAGTCTGTCTTTGAGTCAACTTGTGTGGTTTCGAATCCCCGGTTGTACGTGGCAAGGAGTAGGGTCGCCTGTCCAACCTCGTGGGTTTTCTCCGGGTCCTCCGGTTTCCTCCCACTGCTAAAGACCCCTACGCGCAAGCGAATTATGTAAATAAAATTAAACCATATGTTAGTCCCGAAATGACCTAGTTTGTGTCGAGTGGACGTTAAACCCCATTTCTCTCTCTCTCTCTCCCTTCTATTGCCACAGTGGCTAAGTGAGTAAGATGCTGACTGGCTAGCCTGGAGGTCACAGTGTCGTTACCAGTGTTGGTTGAGAAAGTTCATTGCGATTTTCCAGCGTGGTTTCCCCTTGTCAGTGGTGCAGGACAGTTGTCTAATCATTCAGATGGGTCGAAAAACCAAGTTCCTGTGTTCACATTGGCATGCACGTTAAAGATCCCTTGGCATTTGGAATTTGATATAAGAGTAGGCCTCTGTATGGCGTATGGCCGTCATAATTAGCCCAGTCGGAGAAGAACAGTAGGATGTTAAACCCCATTTCATTTCCATTGCCACACCCACTCAGATTGCCACACTCCATCAATTCCCAGACTCACGCAAACCAAAGTTAGCCCCTACCATGTTCCCATCCTTGCAGTAGCCCATCTCCTTTTCACATTGCAGTTGGTCCCAGACCCCATCTAATTAAAATTAAACCACATGTTAATCCCGAAATGACCTTGTATGTGTCAAGTGGACATTAAACCCTCTCTCTCTCTCTCTCTCTCTCTCTCTCTCTCTCACACACATTTCAGTTGGTCCCTGACCCCATCTCATTAAAATTTGATATTTATTGTGTTGATAAGAATGAATTAGATTATAACAATTAAACAAAGTACCAATATTACTGTATATCATGTATATCATTCTATATAATATGTATTATCACTGCTTTAATATGCTTATTGTAATCAAAATGGCTGCATCAAAATGCTTCTGAGAATGGTTGTCTTATTTTATTTTTCAAAAAAACTTAACTTAAAAAGTTATTTGTGTTTTTGTGTAATTGTTGAATTTTTGCAGTCAATTAATTTTATAAGTTTATTATCTCAGTTTGATATATACATGTATATGTTTTGTAGAACTAATGATAATTGTCATAATGTAACATCAATTATTTCACATTTAACTTGAAGATGCATTATCTAAGAGCTAAATCAACTTAAAAGTCATGTAAAATATTCACACAAATAGCCAATAATAATCTCTCTAGGTCACATGACAAGAATGACTTAGATATTGAAGGAATTAGAACATCATAGCCATTTAATGATGAAATGGATAGTACTACGATTTAATAATTTAACGATAAAATGGATAGTACTACGATTTGATAATTCAACGATAAAATGGATAGTACTACGATTTAATAATTTAACGATAAAATGGATAGTGCTACGATTTAATAATTTAACGATAAAATGGATATTACTACGATTTAATAATTTAACGATAAAATGGATATTACTACGATTTAATAATTTAACGATAAAATGGATATTGCTACGATTTAATAATTTAACGATAAAATGGATATTACTACGATTTAATAATTTAACGATAAAAAGGATATTACCACGATTTAATAATTTAATGATAAAATGGATATTGCTACGATTTAATAATTTAACGATAAAATGGATATTACTACGATTTAATAATTTAACGATAAAATGGATAGTATTACGATTTAATAATTTAACGATAAAATGGATAGTGCTACGATTTAATAATTTAACGATAAAATGGATAGTGCTACGATTTAATAATTCAACGATAAAATGGATATTACTACGATTTAATAATTTAACGATAAAATGGATAGTATTACGATTTAATAATTTAACGATAAAATGGATAGTGCTACGATTTAATAATTTAACGATAAAATGGATAGTGCTACGATTTAATAATTTAACGATAAAATGGATAGTACTACGATTTAATAATTTAACGATAAAATGGATAGTGCTACGATTTAATAATTCAACGATAAAATGGATAGTACTACGATTTAATAATTCAACGATAAAATGGATAGTACTACGATTTGATAATTTAACGATAAAATGGATAGTACTACGATTTAATAATTTAACGATAAAATGGATAGTACTACGATTTAATGATAAAATGGATAGTACTACGATTTAATAATTGAACAATAGTGCTACAATGTAATAATTTAACGATAAAATTGATAGTACTATGATTTAATAATTTAATTATAAAAAAGGACATTTTCATGTGGATGTATTGTATAGTGACGTTACCCCTGTCCATCCACAATTTGTTTGTGGACACACTACAGGTCACAATTCTTATCCGATTTTGACGAAACTTGAAATATAGGTTTATCTCCGAAAGAATTGGTTGCTTTCGATATTGGTATGTATCGGATCAAAACTTCATGGATTATAGCCCCTGATTGTAAGAAAAATCACGTTTTTAGCTTGTGGACACTCTAGAGGTCACAATTTTCATCTGATTTTGATGAAACTTAAAATGCGTGTTTATGACCCAAAGATCTTGGATCCTTTCGATATTTGCGCATATCGGATCAGAACTTCCTGAATTATGGCCCCTGATTGTAAGAAAAATCATGTTCTTAGCTTGTGGTCCCTCTAGAGGTCACAATTATTGTCTGATTTAAAAAAACATTCGAAAATATCATCGTAATGACGCTTGAGTTCAAATTTTGTGAAAATCTGCTGGACAAAATGGCCACCCTTGTATGCAAATAGTGTAAATATATGGTACATCAAGGTTGTGGACCCTGTAGACGACACAATTATGATCCAATGTTGATGAAACTTGAAATACATGTTTATAACCCAAAAATCCTGGTTCCTTGCGATATTCACGTATATCGGAATGTAACTTCCAGAATTATGGCCCTTGATTGTATGAAAAACCACATCTTTAGCTTGTGGTACCTCTAGAGGTAACAATTTTTATCCGATTTGATAAAACGTTTGAGTATACATGTATCCACGTTACACCCTAATGATGGTTGAGTTCGAATGTCCAGAAAATGGGACCCTCTAGAAGTCACAAGTTTGATCCGATTTTGATGAAACTTGAAATATATCTTTATAACCCAAAGATCTTGTTTCCTTTCAATATTCGTGCATATCGGATCGTAACTTCCTGAATTATGGCCCTTGATTGTACGTAAAATCTCTTTTTTTTTTTTAGCTTGTTCAACATCCAACTCTTGCAAAATGTTGACAAATCTTGCCTGGCTGGTTGGTTTCCGCACATCCTAAAATCTCTAGAACGAAAAGTTAAATGAGACAATTATACCGTGTTGTTATGAAACATTTCGACATCTTTGACATGCTTTCTCAAAAGTTGCTCTCCTGACTTGGTAAACTTAACATCCATAGCTCATTTTGAAGGCATTGAGATAGGGAATGTGAAAATAACAATAACTTAATTTCCTCATTGTGACTCATTTTGCCAGCATGGGTCACATATTCATTTTTCATTATCTATATTTGAACAATATAGCAAAAACGGGCAGCTCTTTATCAAAATCTTACATAATGTATCTTTAATATAAATAGTATAGAGATAAGGATTTATATATGTAACATCGAGATAAAGATTTATAAATTATTTCAGCAATCTAACGAACCATCTGATTCGTATTCTTCGATATCACAACAAGATACAATTAGGGTCGAACCAGAAAAAATACGAGTATGGCGAGAAGAACAGCAAGATAGACTAGAGAAGAAAGGTAAAATTATAAAAACAAGTATTAAGACAGTTAAAGTCGAGCTCTGTTCTTGATAGAGAGAGAAGTCTGTGTATTTTCAAGGATGTAGTTGACACAAAGTTCCCTCCCTTTGTTTTGAAATCTTGCATTCAACAGTTGCGTATGTAGGAAATGTAAAAAGTTAATATACTATAAATGATCTAGGTTCTGTATTCCTGTCACCGGGTGTGTAGATATAGCGATATATGACTATATATGGTGTGTATATTTTTAGATATGGATGAAATAAAGAAGAAAGAAGAATGGAAGTCTGTAGCCAAGAAAGAATTAGAAGATTGGTATAAACATCATTCTGAACAACTTTCTAAAGCAAGGGAAAATAACATGTAAGTATTTGTGGCTAGTTAACCAAGAGGTCTGGGGCTTGATACCAGTGTTGGTTAAGAAAGTTCTTCAAAGATTTATCAGATTTGTTTTCCCCTTGTCATTGATAAATCGTTCAGTTGGGATGGCAACCACCCGATGTGCCGTGGACATGATGTCATGCACATGTTGCCATGGTTATGCTGGCATGCAAATAAAAGATGCCTTGGCAGTTTGAATTTAATTAAGAGTAGTCAGAGCATGATTATGTGGAAATACTACTGTACAGGCAAAATGGGACTTACAACATAAAGCCGTTTTCATTTTATTTTGTTACACATTCAGACTTCATGATTCTTTATGATCTTACCCATGTTGACTGGATGAGCTTGTGCTGACTGGACGATCTTACACATGCTGTGCTGACTGGACGATCTTACACATGCTGTGCTGACTGGACGATCTTACACATGTGTGATAGCACACATCTGACTGGATGATCGAACACTCTGACTGGATGATCGAACACATTCTGACTGGATGATAGAACACATTCTGACTGGATGATGGAACACTTTCTGACTGGATGATGGAACACTTTCTGACTGGATGATGGAACACATTCTGACTGGATTATAGCACTTGATTGATAGCACTTGACATTATAGTTAATGGGCTAGAGGTTGTATTTATAGAGGTTAGTTATAATATTTTAATTGTTTACAGAGCTGCAGAGAAGGCGTTTATAAAAGAACGAGATGAATCTGTACCAGGTGATGAGTGGGAGAAGATTTGTCGTTTGTGTGAATTCAACCCAAAACATGCCAAATCTACTAAAGATATTACAAGAATGAGATCAATTTTATTACAGTTAAAACAGACGCCACTAGTTCGTTAATTGTCATGGAGATCAATTATCACATACATTTAAATAATTTCATATGTTTGGTGTTTTAGTTTGAAACAACATGTTAATATAGATTCAATGAGTGATTCATTCTTCTTCACCAATAGTATTGTTTTATGGTCGAGAGCGAGACATTAAGTAATATATTATAACAACAAGAGGGCCGTAGGCCCGAGTGTTTTTATAATATATTACGCAATGTCCTAAGTTCGACACCATTAAACGACTTAAAATACAGACACACCGCACATGCTTTTACAGTGAAATACATCAAGCAAGTCCAATATTTCACTAGTATAAATAATGTATGATTGGCAAGTTGCCCGTACGATTATTTCAAACAATGGTACGCTAACATCAAAGGGTGACATCACCCCTATTTATAACCCACTCTCTGGACCTGTATCAAATTCAGAGTTATCACCCACCAAGTGACAAACATATTAAATTATGTATATTATAACTATTATGTATATGAGTATAATATATTATATGTATTGTAAATTGATTGTTTTTATCATCATGTAAATATATTAACAGGTAGAACTATGTCATATTCTATGATGATTAACTACATGTTTGTCTACAGTTTAGCTAGAACTATAATCATGGCCAATATGTATCAGGATTCTTCTTAAAGAAATCTTATTTATTAAATGAACTTGATATCAGTCAGCAGTATATTATTTTCAAACTATTTTAAAAGAATATCAAAAATTTGTTAGTTGTATTCTGTGAAGAATCATCGGTTAAATATTTTAATTTATTTATCATGAAACATTTAACTCTGGTTATTTATGTATAAATGAAAGATATTAAACAAATTTAATTGAATAATGTACGAGTTCACAGATATCGGTATATAAATAATAGATACATAGAACACTTATTGATAGATATATAACAAACTGTCATTCCATATAAATAAACACTTGAAAAACCTGTAGGTTATATGCTTTTATTAAAGAGACTTCAGAACCTGGGCGAGATGAATTATATCAACGTCCGCCCAAAATTATATAGTGTACTTTTATAATATGTAAATATTAATTGAATAAATAGTGTCAGAAAATAAAATTTGGTCGACATACTAACATGTTAATCAGTCATCCAGATGGATATTTGTCTAATGCAAACCCACTGAAATAGAACCCAGTCCTTTCTAGATCTAGACTGAAATAGAAACCAGTCCTTTCTAGGTCTAGACTGAAATAGAACCAGTCTTCTCTAGATCTAAACTGAACTAGAACCAATCCTCTCTAGATCTAGACTGAAATAGAACCAGTCCTCTCCAGATCTAGACTGAAATAGAATGCAGTCCTTTCTAGGTCTAGACTGAAATAGAACCAGTCCTTTCTAGATCAGACTGAAATAGAACCCAGTCCTCTCTAGATCTAGACTGAAATAGAACCAGTCTACAGGTCACAACTTTTATTATCCAATTTCAATGAAACTTGAAATATAGGTTTATCACCCTAAGATCTCGGTTCCTTTCGATATTGGCATGTATCGGACTGTAACTTCATGGATTATGGCCCCTGATTGTACGTTTTTAGCTTGTGAACACTGTAGAGGTCACAATTTTTATCCGATTTGGTTTAAACTTGAAATGTATGCTTATAACCCAAAGATCTCGGTTCCTTTCGATATTCGTGCATATCGGAAGGTAACTTCCTGAATTATGGCCCCTGATTGTACGAAAAATCGCGTTTTTAGCTTGTGGACCCTATAGAGGTCATAATTTTAATCCGATTTAAAAACAAAAACGTATTATTATATCACCGTTAGACCCTAAGGATGGCTGACTTCGAATTTCGTGAAAATCGACCCAAAACTGACAGACAAAATGGCCGCCGTTCGTTCTCAAATAGCGTAAACATATGGTATATCAAGGTTGTGGACCCTATAGAGGTCTAAATTTTATCCGATTTTGTTGAAAATTGAAATGTAAGTTTATAACCCAAAGATCTTGGTTCCTTTCGATATTTGCGCATATCGAATTGTATTTTCCTGAATTATGGCCCTTGATTGTAGGAAAAATCACTTTCTTTTTAGCTTGTTCTCTATCCATCTCTCGAAAATGTGGGCGTATCCTGCCTGGCAGCCGCTGGTTTAAGAAAATGGAGGTGGTGAAGTGGATAATTCTTCTATCTCAAACATACACTTGACTATAGCAGAGTATTAATTGCTCCTATCGTACCTACACTAGCAGAATATAATATTACTGGCTACTACTTCTGTCGTTCTTATATCTCCAACCAAAACTAGCAGAGTACATTATTAGTTCCTACGTCTATCCAACCAACACGAGCAGAGTATATTACCTACGACTGGCTCTTCATGCAAGTTTCCCAGGAACACGTGTCTGCGATATCGCCCTAGTTGGAAGCGGACGTTAAGCTGACAATACTTCCATGATGAATGAAATGGTTTAATGTCTTTTACTACCTCATTTGTAGTATACATAGCCTTATATGGTATGGGGCCTTATATGCTAATGCGGAGTGCCAGAAGTTGGGAATTTTAATGGTCCATTTTCAAGGGAATTTCCTGACAGTAAGAGTTTATTCGGCGTGTGATATTTCAACAAGAACATAAAATAGCACAGTAAAGTATCTTAAAATAACTTCTCTTCAGCTTGGCATTTTACCACATTCCAAATAACCCGGGAGCTCAGAAAGAAAATATTGAGTCCAAAAGGTTTGAGGTCTACAACACATATTTTATACCTTTAGATCATTTTGGAAAGCCAAGTCTAAGTTTTGTAACCTGTGCATATACCTGGGAGCGCTCCTCCTACCCCTCCCATATTTAATGGGAGTTAAAATTCAATGTCCATTCACAATTTTCTTGCAAACGTTTCATACTTAACACCAAGAAACAGAATGCATGACTTAAGGGCATACAATGTTGTAGGCCTACTAATGCTACTTAAGGGCTTAATTAATTAGCACTAATTAGTGACCGTAATTAAAATTTAGATTCCATAACTGAAACAAAGCCTAAAAGCTGGCTAACCAAGTCATGAAACCGAAAATATCACTTAAGAGCGACAAAAGTTGAACAAACCTTGCTTAAGACTCGTTCAAAGGTGACAACGGTCAAGGGTCATTAATTAGTGACCGTAGTTAAAATTCAGAGTCCATAACTGAAACAAAGCCTAAAAACTAGCTAACCCAGTCAGGAAACCAAAAATATCACTTAAGAGCGACAACAGTTGAACAAACCTTGCTTTAGAGTGGTTCAATGGTGTCAAAGGTCAAATTTTGGGTCACATACTGACGTTTGAGTGGATTTGAATAAATTGTCTTGTTCGGGGTTGTTTTTCTTTCTAACACCATTTCTATGAGTTTCAGTGCTTAGGAGCATAACATGTTGTCAGTTGTACTAATGCTGAAGAGCTTATATATTAACTTGCACTAATTTGTGACCATATTTAAAACTTAAGAGTCCGTAGCTGAAACAATTAAGCCTAAAAGCTAGCTAACCAAGTCAGGAAGCCAACAATATCCCTTAAGAGCGACGAAAGTTGAACAAACTTGGCTTAAGACTGGTGACAAAGGCCATATTTTGGGTCACATTATGACCAATCAACTAATCAAATTGCTTATCTCTGCTGATCCTAAACATAAAATGCGCATCTTCGTACTCCATCAAGCCATTCACCTAATCAACAGCTACACCAACTTTAAACATTCTGCCTCAATTACAAGAAGAATTATTGTGTCGTAAAAATCGACCCAAAACTGACAGACAAAATGGCCGCCCCTTGTACTCAAATAGCGTAAAAATGTGGTATATCAATGTTCTGGACCCTCTAAAAAAAGGTCACAATTTTCTTTTGATTTTGATGAAACTTGAAATGTAATTTTATAACCCAAAGATCTCTTGATTCCTTTCGATATTCACGCATATCGGATAGTAACTTCCTGAATTATGGCGCATTTCAGACCATAACTTTCTGGATTATGGCCCTTGATTGTAAAAAAAAATTCCGTTTGTTTTTAGCTTGTTCTCTATCCATCTCTTGCAAAATGTGGGCGTATCCTGCTTGGCAGCCGCTGGTTATGGGGGAAAAATCACAGGTTACTATCGCCTGCATCAAGCTTGACAGTACCAGATCATTATTTAATGGACGTTTTGATTCAATTAACATCTTATCTTATCTAGCACAAACATCTTGTAAGTATAAGCCTGTCTTGATAGCATTATACGGAAAATAACCTTTCGATATCGACTTTTTTTTCACAAAAGTGGCATTAGTCTGAAAGGACAATACATAAACGTTTCGAATCATATATGGACTAATTTATTATTTAATTGTCTACTTTTTTTAAAACCAGAGAGTTATCCAGTTCTATATTTCCATTCTCAATATTTAGAATAATTGGAAAAACTGAACAGTTTTTGCATTTCATTTCCTGTAATATTATATAGGAATGCATGATTCGTCGCATAGTTTTTCCACGTCTCTTTAGGGCAAGCAAAGATAAGCAATTTGATTGGTTGATTGGTTGATTGATCATAATGTGGCCCGAAATATGACCTTAGTCAAAAGTTTGTTCAACTTTTGTCGCTCTAAAGTGATATTTTTGACTTCCTGACTTGGTTAGCTAGCTTTTAGGCTTTGTTTCAGCTATGAATTCAAATTTTAATTATGGTCACAAATTATTGCTAATTAATTAGCTCTTAAGTAGCATTAGTACAGCATTTCATGCTCTTAAGCAGTCATTTTGTACAGTGAAACTCATAGAATTGGTGTTAGAAAGAAAAATAATCCATGACAGGCCAATTTAATCAAATCAACCTAAACATTATTATATGTGACCCAAAATTTGGCCTTTGAACCACTCTTAAGCAAGTTTTGTCGTGATATTTTTGGTTTCCTGACTTTGTTAGCTAGCTTTTAGGCTTTGTTTCAGTTATGGACTATAAAATTTTAATTACGGTCAATCATTAGTGACCTTTGACCTTTGGACAAGTCTTAAGCAAGGTTTGTTCAACTTATGTCGCTCTTAAGTGATATTTTTGGTTTCATGACTTGGTTTGCTAGCTTTTAGGCTTTGTTTCAGTTATGGACTCTAAATTTTAATTACGGTCACTAATTAGTGCTAATTAATTAAAGGGCCTATCCCGGTTTGAACAGAGCCTCAAAAATAAAAGTCCGGGTACGTATGAAATTTAAGCGCCAAAATATAGAGGAATGGTGTATTTGCCTTGTCTCAAAATTTCAGCTCAAAATATTGAGTCGTTGGGACGTTTTATTCTCCAAAATATTATCGGGATTAGCCCTTTAAGCGCTTAAGTATGCATTCTTAAGTCATGCATTCTGTTTCTTAATTTTAAGTATGAAACGTTTGCACGAAAATTGTGAATGGACATTGAATTTTAACTCCCATTAAATATGTGAGGGTTAGGGGAAGCGCTCCCAGGTATATGCACAGGTTACAAAACTTAAGACTTGGCTTTCCAAAATGATCTAAAGGTAAAATATGTGTTGAAGACCTCAAACCTTTTGGACTCAATATTTTGATTAAATCTCACTGGGCTCCCAGACTATTTTGTTTCTTGTTGATGCTACAATTGTTTTTTTTTTAAGTTCGGTGAATATGTCAAGTACAATGGATAATTAGAACATGTTATATAGCACATAAAAAGGTAATTATAATATTTACAAGTAAAGTGCAGTTCAACATTAAGACGGTCTATAATACATAATCCAGCGGCTGCCAGATTTTTCAGGAAATTACAATTCGATATGCGCAAATATCGAAAGGAACCGAGATCTTTGTGTTATAAACTTACATTTCAAGTTTCAACAAAATCGGATAAAAATTGTGACCTCTATAGGGTCCACAATCTTGATATACCATATTTTTACGCTATTTGAGAACGAACGACGGCCATTTCGTCTGTCAGTTGTGGGGTCGATTTTCACAAAA